TTTAAGTACCTACCTTAGGAAGGTATTTTTTACTTCTCTTTAATTTGAATCCCTGTTTTATTTTATTACTAGCGATAATATTCTATAGCCTATGTTACTCTTTGATAATATGTATATGCTACATAGCTTTTTATAGATATTTTTTTTTAAATTGGTTGAATAGTTTATCCATTACAAGTAATGATGCCCATAGGCAATTAATTCATCCTTACACGTTTGAACTTAAACAGTCAGTTTCACTGCCGTTTCGCTTACGCTGTGGAACTCCCTGCCTAGGTTTTCTCTAGAGACTACGGTATGAGGTTTTACAAAAAGGGTATATTAAAGATTCTTAAGATTCTTCCTATATAAATAAGGTAAGTTTGTGCTTGTAATTTAAGGTGCACAACCATACCATCAATAATATAGATTTTTACCACCGCTCACGATCGATTTGTTCATATTTTACTGGAGATATTGATATCATATTTATGTACCCACCCAAGTACAAGGTCACTTACTTGGGCGATATAATTATTTTGAAGGCTTAGGTATGGGCCATTTATATATGAGTAGCTAGAAGGGACAATCATTTGGAGGAAATATTCTTAAGTGGTGACCTCGTATAAACAAATGTAATACAAAACAACCTCGCCCTATTAAACGTAATGACCTTAAATGTGTTTCGAGGAGTTAGTGAATTGACGAATTAGGATCATTTTTTATGGCAATTTTTGGGAAGATCTGTATTTGGTAGTAACTAGACAATTAAGTACTTAACGACTGAATTTGATAATAGTTGGGTGATTTTTTGACCATTTTGTTTTTTTTTTTTTTTTTTATTTCCATTATAAGAACGAGAACTTTATTTGAACCATATGCCTTACGACACTGGTAGCGCGTATCTTCCTTTTTTGGTCACGGAATATCTCCATAGAAGGGATTGTACCTATCACTTTAAAAACTCCTAGCCTAGTATTTATTTAGTAGAGTAAACACATTTTTCTTTTACGAAAATTACTTATAATGTAACTTGGTTATCGCAAACTTTGTAAGCTATTCGAGACATCTAGACCAAATAAAATTATTGTCTGGATATCTTAGTAATTTTCTTATTGTGATTCAATATTGGGTTAGAAATTTAATATTTAGTTCTCGCCGAGTGTACCTAAATCAGTATTTTAACAGCGTAGACAAGAATTTAATATCGGTAATGTGATTTACATAGTAATTATTAAAGAAATTCTCTGTGTACCTTTTATTAATATAGTACATTAATGCTTTAATTGAATTTTACTTTATCAAATTTAAATAATTAAATTTTCTTTAAATTATTGTAATAAAATATATTTCAATGAAAATAATGGAAAGAACCTATAATTATTTTAAATAATATCATATAATCGAATTATGCAAATTCAATTTATAATACTTATACTATTATAATACTTATAATATAGGTTTCCTTAAAATATTTATCTTTTATAGTAAACACTCCTTTATGTATGATTTTTTAAATAATTTATATAACATTTTTCGTGTTTTACTCAGTCGTAAGTAACACGTGATTTGTAGGTTTTTAGTTCAAGACTTTTTATGAATACTAAAAATAAATAAACTTGGTTATCATTTAATAATTTTCTGTTAGGTGTATTTTTTTTTTTCTGTAACGGAAGAAAACCCTATCGATTGGAAAAACAATTATCGGAGTCTTTGTGAAAAATATCGTGTAACATTGAACGTTGCCTAAAAACAGGTTCATTGGAGATTTTACGTTTCTTGGGACTGTTAACTGTATTATAATCGTATTATAGCGGAGTGATTTAGATACGCCGTTTGAAGAGTACATTATTTAGTAGGAATGTCTATTTATTACAAGATACTAAATGTCGTTATGAGCGATTGAAAAATAAATCAATCAATTAATAAATAGTTTTAAGATTTTATATGGTCGAATATTGCAATAATAGAGAGAAGAAAAAAAATTTTTTTTATTCAAATAAATTAAAATTCACGTAATTCTAAATATTTTTTATGACTCTACCCTCTATTCGGAATACAATTTAGGTTAATAAGAACGGGCATCTGAAGTTTTTATCAAAAACTTGAATTATATGCATTTGTGTGAATATAAATTCCCAAACAAAGTCAGATCATAAAAAATGAGATATAAGCATTAAAAAGGCACTAGAACTTGGAGTGAATAGATTTATATTGCATTCATTAACATTTATTGCACATGAATATAATCACTTCTTTTAATTTGGTACTAATTAATTTGTGTTTAAAAATATAGGTTATTTATTACAGCTGTGTAATTGAAAGTTGTACTCATGTTTCTTATGTGAATCATAAAATACATGAGATAACTGTGAATCAATATGCGAATTTACTTCAAGGAGTATAAAATTAAATTGGTAAGTGTACTTGTATGTTAACACTCGCAAATAATAGAAAAAATAATAATATAACATTCATAAATAATAAATAAACAAGTAAAGCAAACGAATCTATCGATAGAATCGATATCGCTGGCGAGTCCATGAGGTAGAATGAGAAGCTCATGTCCGCAGGCTATTTTCTTCGGACGCGAGCCTTAACATTATTCTATCGATTGATTTAGATTTGTTGTATAATTGTCTAGGATTTTATATAAAATACACAAAAATACAATTGGTTAGGAATTTTTTTTCATGTCTATTAAACATGTATCTAATGATTTTTTGTCAATCTTTCTGTTCTTTTTAAACAAAATATCAAAAGCTTTTATTAGTTTCTATGACTTTTATTGTACGTTCACATTTAATATAGTGATCAGTTTATATAGAAAATGACGAAGTACTTAGGCGATCTTATCCTTTGAAGGGATTTCTTCCAGTCAATCTAGAGAAATCGAAAAGGTTTAGTATAGGGTTTGTATGCATATGGTGCATAAATTATAAGTGTTCTTTAGGCTAAGATATTACACAGTAGTGGCTATTTGATTTTTATTATTAGACTAATTACACTGTAGTGTAAGTGAACTGCGAAATTATTTAGCTGAAAGCAGTGAAGCCTTTTACCCCAAAATCTGATTTAATTACACGGGTATCCAAGCCAAACCGTAAACGTTGGAAGATAGGAACCTTGAACGTAGGTTGATCAGGGTGTGTAGCATACTACATAATAATTATTATATATGAACCTCTTTGCTCCTGTAATGAAAATTCTGAAATTTTCATTGTATTGGATGTAGGTGGTGGTGTGTCAGAATATGTATGACATTTAAATATGTATTTAATTATTGTTGAAAAAAAATATAATATAAATATGTATGCATTAAATTTTCACTGACATTATAAATGTGTGTGTATGTGTGCAAGTTTGTTTGTTTCTACGAATATGAAATTTGGTATATGGGATGGACAAGGACATTGGCTACTGTATTCCGGTCAGTGTATATATCCCGTACACTCGGACAAAGTCGCTGGGAAAAACTAGTGATGATTTATGTGATTTTGTGGCGAGTATTGAAATTTGGTTTACGTTTAATTGGAACAACACAATCGAAAACATTGAAACAATTTAATTTATTTTTAAAATAAAGCAATCGTTGTTAATAATAGTACTTCTCTATAGAGTACAAATTCTTTAGGTTACCATGCCTTTAGCAGTAAAGTGCTTCAAAATCGTTTTTCAGAATGGAAATTTAATTGTATATTAAATAGTAGATATATATTACATCCATAATTGCAGGATTAATCCCATGCATAATCTCTCCTTTCAACTGGTCACTGATTATTCAAATTGTCCCAAAATAGCTTGTTAGTGTTACGTTAAAATATGTGATCCGTATAATGAGGACCAAAATGGAATCGATATTTGGTTTAGTTTTGAAATAATCCTTTCCCGCGTGTTCGTCCGCGTGATCGGGATATATTTACTGTACGGGATAAAAAATAGCTTACGGGATAGAGAACATCTCTAATAGTACGCCAAATGTCGTGACAATTGCTTCAGCTTTAATAGTTTAGAGTTAGACGAGTTCAGAATAGTCGAGACGAGGCAGCGACTACGTGATTTGCACATTTATAATATTCGTAAAGATTACTAACACAGTATTTCGTTAATCGAAATAGGTATATACCTAAGTATTTTATCTTTTTATATAGTTTTTTTGTTACGTCGTGCAACTGGGTATTCAAATTTGAATAATTTAGGATTGTGTTCCACAAAAATAACTGACTTCAATCGTAACAAAAAATCGTAATAGTTGTTTGGAATTAGAAACTAAGCCACTGGACCGATTTTGATAAAATTTCTATGGGATATGGGATAAAAAAAGATTTTTCCAAATCGGTTTATAACTGCCAGAGTTGAGGTAACAAGCTTAAAAAAAAAATTAAAGGGAATTGAGAACATCCTTTTTTTAAAGTAGGTTGAAACAAAACTTAGGGAGTAGATTAGAGGGACGTATTGGCCGGAAAAAAGGTTTATTTAAACTTTGTTGACAATTGACGAAGATTCATAGATCACTCAAAAAGAACAGTTGATTCCAGAACTTCATCTTTTTTATGTCGGTTAAAAATGAAATACGTTGTCAGTCACGTATAGTTTTTATAGTTAGATATTGACGTGTAACGGAATGACTGATAACTGTACGTTATATACATGGATTGGAACGCGTGCTACGAGCGAGATTGATGTATTTGCAAAGTGAGGTATACAAATGGTTCGAATTTCAAATACGATGATTAGTGAATTCTTTCTTTGTTCTCTTACAGTTTTATAGTATTTAAATTACAGATATTATGCGTAATAGCAGTATTAGATTCGATGCTAAGATGAGCAAATTATATAGTAGTATGTTTTTTTCAATACAATCTTTATTTTTCCTCATACGGAGCTATACACGTGTCAAATTCATTACATTAAAAGAATAAAAATATTTTAATTTCGAAATAGCGAAGGAGGTCGCAAGCATTCCTTTAATTTTGTTATAAAATAAAAGTGTGTAAAAATATTATGTTCTTTTTGTACAGCGTGACCCGGAATGTACTCCGCCGTGTCGCCGCGCGCAACCTACCCGAACCACCAGCACCCCAAAACGCGGGCAAGCGCAGACCACCGCTGTCAACAACGAAGCAACTGGTAAGTGTTTGATACATAGTTTTTAATATATGATAATGGAATGATAACTCCGCTCGCGCTAACCAGTAAGGGATGAGGTGAGGGTAAAAACTGGTTAGTCCATCGTGATGAATTCGCTTGGAATTAAGCACGATGGTTACCAGGGGGATAGCGAGGAGATCGACCTGACAGGGCTTATTGCTAGCAATGGTGTTAATAATCGCCATTGCTGACAATTAATCATTATTAAGTAATGGCCCGTGCAAACAAGGGATATTTTATTCCGCGGACTAAATTTATATGTATAGGCGTATTCAAGCGGTGACCGGGAGAATTGTGCCCACTCCAGGATATGAGAAAAGTTTCATAAAGACATCTCTGAGAGTACATATGTGTCTTTTGTAAGGGGCCAGGTCCTCTCTAGAAAATAATCTTAAACACGTCACTGTTTATATGTGCTCCGTCTGCCCAGGATTATAATTTTTATTAAGAGACTATGCCCAGCATATATTCTTGTAATAATAAAACTCCTAAAATCATCTGCGTTGACCTTAAATCATGCCCACAGAAAAAAGTACGAAGCTTCTAATTATTGTTTTATTTAGATATGTTAATGTTTTAGGTACATTATCTGTGTAATATGATATAGTAAAACCACAGCTTAAGTTTTTTATACTGTGGTAAAACTGATGAAGATGTTGCAGTGTTAGAAATGAATGGCATTCCACTGCCTGTACAAATGTTTTGTAATCAGTAAATTTTAAGACTAATTATCACAGTCTATAAATTTTTGTGCTAATGAAAATTGTCGCGGCGATCGACGATTGTGTTCCAAGAAATAAAACCGAAGTCAATCTTGAAGACATTCTTAGTGACAAGAGCACTTGTCATTTCTTTTACAAATAAATGTCGAGCTGTTCTGCTTTTATTTATATTGCCTAGTGGCAATATAAATAAAAGCAGAACAGTTTTTATCCGCGAAATCGCGTGATGCAGATATGTTTAATGACTGGGATAAAAAGTAGTCTGTGTCCTTCTCCATCCCATACTGTAGCTGTACACAAAATTTCATTGTGATTGATTAAGTTATTAGACATTAAGAGGTAACTAACAAATTCACTTTAACAGATATTAGTAAGGATTTTATCACGAGTGAATTTGATTTTTTTTTATTGTGTAATAGAATATTAAAAATATTATTATTTGTACAAAATTGATTATAAATGAGAAAGCGAGTTTCAGCATCCCACTACCACTTAGTATAGCATGGTATCGATTGAAAACTGCAGACAGTAATGCAGTCAAGTTATTAACAACAACAACAAGTTCAGTGAGAACTTGAAATTTATGCGATATACCGTTTATGTTTCCCTACTTCCTTACTTAATGTAGTTTATAAATTTTGCATAAATAACAATACTAAAATAAAAACTGTTTGGATAATATTACTCAGCAAATTATTGTAGTGAGTTTGTTCATATAAAATTTATTTCGTTTATTCAAAAACTAGCTATATACTGCGGTTTTGTGTGCGTGAATCAATAAGTATATAAAGTATCCTATGTGCTAAGTTAGGATATAATCTACATGTGTATAAAGTTTTGTTCAAATTATTTTAGTAGTTTTTACGTGAAAGAGTAACAAACATTTATCCATTCATCTATATTAACAAACTTTCGCATCTATAATAATAGAATTTAACACACGGGTCACATTATTTCACCAACACCACTGAAAGTGGAAGTAGATAGGTGATACGATACAAAGGCGTACTCTGAACATTTTACTCAAATAAATTTGAGTCGTAAAAAACTTAAGCCTACTTATGATTGTATCCTGTATATATAATGAATAGGATAAATAAATGAATGAATAAACAAAACACATTTGTGAATTATAATATGTAATAATATTAGATATATGTTTTGTATATATACTAGTTATTAAGAGTATGCGCGCCTCACAACTAGACAGTGGGGAATAGGTTCAAGAAAAAAGCTTTTTTTATTTAATTTTTTCATATGTTATTGTGGGATATATATATATATATATATATATATATATATATATATATATATATATATATATATTAGTGAAAATTGTCACTTTTTAATTAGCTAAATTTGAAACTATCAATACTCTGCAGTTTCTCTATTCCACTTCGTTCGTTCCACTATTCGTTCCACTGCTAATTTCTGAAATGTTGGGAATCACAGTAGCTATTGTACTGCAATGAGAGATGAAATGAAGCTGTACCGTCCCTAGGGAACTTCGACTCGTTTGCTTTATCTGTCAGTATTTCAATACAAATAGCTAATAATGAAGTCTAGTGATTATTGGCTTATTACTAGCAATATTTCCCTGATTGGTTATTCTACAAGCGGTCCTCTCTGGAAACCAACGTACATAATTTCTAACGATTTTATGATGGGATATTATTTATTGTTATTCTGACTTCGTCTATTATTCTCATTGGTACCCGACAGCAGGTTACCTTTCCATTTTTATTTATTAGAAAAAAATTCTGTAAAATTCGTTATCAACAAGGAAATGTCTTATCAGCGGCAAGGTTGAATAACAACATAATAGGTAGGCATGGGGTTGTTTGTCTATCCGCAATCGATCGCGCCCTTGGCCAAATGTTTATTGCAATCTTTGCCTTGCTTTGGTATCTCACTTCTTGATTTTAACGTTAACAAAATATTGACATGAATTGTTTATCTTTTAGATACCTATGTATAAAAGATTAGGTCGAGAGTGGCATTTGACATTTAGCATTGGTAGGCTATTAAGTTCAAAACTTTGAAAATTAAATAGGTAAATTTTCGACTCTTATTTGTTATTAATGTTTTTTTTTTTTCAAATTACGTTACGGGATGTAAGGAGGTTGTGGTAGGAACAACACTTTCTTATTTTTAGACCTATGTTTCACTCATAAAAATGTTACGATTATTTGAATTTTAACTTGTATATAAAGCAGGATTTTGCTCCATGAAAAATATAACGTCATTAATTGAAACAAAAAAAAAAATAACACATTAAAAACAACTCCCTTTTTTGAATTGTTTAATAATAAGTGTCATAATCGTACCAGAAATATACTATTAAAAGTGTATTCAATGGAAAAGTTCGCTCATCCTTAGATATTTCTAATAATTACTATGCCCCCGACTTACCAAGGATTAGAAGTGAGGGTCCCGACCTTGTGCTATTTACACCCAGCCTGGATAGTAAACCTTGACTATTTGGTCCCGGTATTATAACTACGGATAGCTACATGCACCGAGCGAGTTCAATTAAGGAAATAGAATTTTCATTGCACTTTTATACGAAAATACTTTTATTACGGTAATATTTTCGACCGCGATGGCGTTTGCATAGTTATTATAATTAATAGTTAGTTATATAGTTTTTATCCGCGGCTTCGTCCGTATGGACCACAAAATCTCGATTGATACGAGTATATAATTTTAAATTGGTTAAAAATAAAATGTAACATTATGCCATTTTTCAAACTAAGTTCTATGTGAATATAAAATTTTACTACAATTTAAGGTTCTTCAGAAAGTTACACCTTTAGTGATGTATTCATAGGCTACAGTGATCGTTTACCATCAAACAGGCTGTATTCTTGTTTACCACCTTTGTGGTATAAAAGAAATCATGATCATAATGAGAGGGAATTATTCACAAAAAAGACTGGTGGCTCCTGTTGCTTGTAATGTACTTTTCAGGTCGAACCTACTCGTCGTTATACTTGAAATTTGTTTCCATATAATTCATTAAAAAAATTGTATATGATGATTGATTAAACCGTAAACGCGCCAAGAGGTAATAAACTCAGTTTGACGTTATAATATTAATAAGGATAATATTCCTACGACTCATATGTCGCACTGCCACGTCATACACTAAGAGCTATTAAATTATACTCGTAAAAGGTGCCCCGGCGGTTGTATATTGCTATGTGGTAATTCACTTTATAGAACACTCCGGTACCTTTAGATAAATTGATTTTTTTTTTCCAGTTTATATTTTTTTTTTAAAAACATAGAGGGCAAGCGATCATGCGGCTCACCTGATGGTGACTACCGCCGCCCATGATCACCCACAACACCAAAGAGATTTCAGGTGTGCTGCCGGCCTTTTAAAAAGGAATATGCTCTTTTCTTGAAGGTTTTGATCTCGTATTATTATTATTAATAAGATCGATTTAATTGTATACTTAATAGGAAATTATGTTAAAATGGAAAATACTATAATAATGAATACAAGATGTATAATTACAGTTTATGAATCGTTACAAGATAAAATTCTTTTTCTAGCAGTAAATATTAGGTTACGTAGGTGTTATTTTCCATTCCCATACGAATTCCTAAAACTGCTTTTGTAGCGAACTATATAAAAAACATACCAAATCACTAGCGTTAAAGATTTTGAAATACCTAAATACATTTCAAAATCTTATATGTATTAATACCGGTTAAAAATATCATTCGTTTAATTTGTCAATTTAAAACCTTTTTACCAGTCAACATTATTCTGCTTGCGTGCGTTGAGCCAAAGTTTTATCCCTAAACAACAATGATAATTTAGGTCACCCCATTTTCGTTATAAAAGTTGAAAAATAAAAAATAATATAAAGTACGTTGTATACTACGAATATTTATGAAGATTTGTATATACTATTGTAGCATATACTATATCCTAGAGAAAATTAAAAATGATATGTTTTTATCTGGATCTACATCAGAATGTTAACTATGAATTACGTACAGAATACCTAATAGTTACGGTTAATTACTCCAGATGTAATTTAATATGTGATACCGTTAAATATTAAGGATCTGAATGTGTTACACACGCTAGGGTAATATAACTGCAAAGTGATCACGAACTTCTAAGTTATGAACTAGAGAAGCAACCTTGTCCCATATATACTGGTAAGTCTTAGACGCTAGGTTGATAATATTTCAGCTTACCGACTCTCCCACCGGGTATGCTCTTAAATAATTCATACC